CTGGTTTTATTATTATCGTTAAACAATTCAAAAATGAGCAAAAGTCTTGAACAGACACAGAAAAAGATCTAAGAATGGTTAGTAAGCACTCAGATAGGCATACAGAAAGACGCGCAACATCGTAAGTCAACAGGCAAGGGCAAATTAGAAAGCATTTCATACCCATTGCTGCTGCTGCTTAGTCGTGTGACACACGTGTCTGACTCTGTGTGAACTCATGGACTGTAGCCCGCCAGGCTCCTCTGTCCATGGGATACTCCAGGCAGGAATACTGGAGTGGGTTGCCCTGCCCTCCTCCAGGAGATCTTCCCAACCCAGGGATCAAACCCAGGTCTCCTGCATTGCAGACGGATTTACCATCTGGGCCTCCAGGGAAGCCCAAGAATACTGGAGTGGGTAGCCTATCCATTCTCCAGGGGATCTTCCCAACTCAGGAATAGAACCAGGGTCTCCTGCATTGTAGGTGGATTCTTTACCAGCTGAGCTACTGGGGAAGCCTCGCTTCACACCCACTAGAATGGCTAAAATTAAACACTGACATCACCAACTGTTGACAAGGATGTGGAGCAATTAGAACATACTTTGCTGATAAGAGTGTAACATGGTAAAACCACTTTAGAAAACAGTTTGACTCTTAAAAAGTTAAGCATACATCACAACCTAGCAATTCCACTTCTAGCGATCTACCCAAGGGAAATAAAAACAATAAAAATGTTGATAGAAAGACATAAATAAGACTGTTCACAGAAGCTTTCTTCATAAAGGCAAAAACTATAAACAACTCAAATATCTATTCACAGGAAAATGGGTGAATAAAACCGGTTATTTTTACAGTTGGATGGGCTTCCCAGGTGGCAGTAGTAGTAAGGAATCTGCCTGCCAGTGCAGGAGACATAAGAGACGTGGGTTCAACTCCTGGGTCAGAAAGGTACCCTGGAGAAGGGAATGGCAACCCATTCCAGTATTCTTGCCCATCGGGCTCCCATTCACAGGGTCGCAGAGTCAGACACAACTGAAGCGACTTAGCACATACACACGCATACAATGGAACAATCCTCAGTAACAAAGAAACTACTGATACACATATAAGGACATGAATAAATCTCAAAAACATTATCCTAAGTGAAAGAAAGCATGCACAAAGGAGTATATACTGTATGACTCCTTTTACATGAAGTTCAAGCGTGGATAAAACTGAGCTACGATGTTAGAAATAAGAACAGAGGTTGTTAAGGGGTGGGGATTTTCTGTGAGGTGATATATGCATGTATCAAAATTCATCAAATTGTACACTTAAAATGGGCATCCGCTGGTATATGTAACTTTTACATCAGTCAGAGAGAGATGCTTGCAGCAAGATTATGAAAAATTTTTAAATGGAAACAAGTTAAATATTTTCTAGTAGGGGGTTAGTTAATAAAGTGTGTACCCAAATTCCGCAGCCATTGAAAATGATAATAGAGAAAGCAATCTATTGACAAAGAGACGTGTTCATGACAATCGATGTGAAAAAAAAAAGTTATCGAATGGTGTGCAGAGTATAACAGACACGAAAGCACAGAAAAAGGTCTGTGGAACTACTCTGGCAGTCCAGTGGTTGAGATTCGCCTTCCAATGCAGGGGGTGTGGGACCCAGGGTGTTCCCCTGGTCAGGGAACTAAAATCTCACAAGCCTCTGGGCAACTAAGCCCATACCACAACTAGAGAGCCCCGCTCTGCAATAAGAGAAACCTGTATGCCACAAAGAGAGAAAGCCTGCATGCCACAGCAAAGACCCAGTGCAGCCCTTCCCCAGCAAAATAAAGGGTCTGGAGGCTTTTCTTCAAAGTGAGACTGGGGGTCACCTTGAGAGGTAAAATTCTGGATGTTTTCACTTTTCTATACCCAGTACGTACTTGCTTGTGCAATAAGAAAAAATATTTCTAAATAGATGCAGATATTACAGTTAATTCTCCTTATTCAGGGTAGCCACATTTCATCAAGTCCCCAGGGAATCCTGAATCGGAGACTACTGAACCATCGCTTGTGGGGGAAATACAGGATTAGATTCCTGTGAGTATCAGGTCACAACATGTTCGTCAATGGATCAATACGATCAATACATAAGCTTGTTTTATGTGGGCTTCCATCTAAAGACATCTTATTGAATCTACATTATAGATTCATTAACATTTAACCCACAGCCAATAGCAGCACTATAACTCATGCCAAACAAAGCTTACTTAACACATGTTATTTTCTCAGAAAGTCACATCAGAGTCTTTTTGCACTAAGAACATTTGCACTAAGAACTATGCTTGGGGACATTTTAGACAAGAATATCACTCCCCTCCAGCCAAAAAAGAAAGGCACAAAAATGTGAAAAACACGGCACTAAACAGGCGGTGAAAAGGACGCTTGTTTACATGAGAACTGAAACCAAGAAGCAGGGAGCCATCTGGTTCAACCTCCTAACATGGGAACACACGTGAGGCGACTCAAATTTTTTTATCGCTCTGCACACAGCTCTGAATGGCCACAAAAGTGCTTCAGGTATTAATTTGGGTTACAAGTAAATTTTAGTAAGATTCACAAATGCAGACTCGTCAAATAATTAGGATGGGGGAGTTCCCTGGTGGTCTGGGTGGCTAAGGCTCCATGCTCCCAAAGAAGGGGGCCTGGGTTCAATTCTTGGCAAGGGAACTAGATCCCACATGCCACAAGTGAGTGTCTGCATGCTCCAACTAAAGATCCCACAAGATGAAACTAAGATCTGGCACAGGCAAATAATTAAATAAAAATATATTTTTAAATAATTAGGATCGACGGTATATAGACATGAGGCTTCCCTGGTGGTTCAGTCGGTAAAGAATCCGCCTGTAGTGCAGGAGACCCAGGTTTGATCCCTGGGACAGGAAGATCCCCTGGAGAAGGATCTGGCAACCCATGCCAGTATTCTTGCCTGGAGAACCCTATGGACAGAGGAACCTGGCGGGCTACAGTCCATGGGGTCACAAAAGAGTCGGACAGGACTTAGTGACTAAACAACAACAAATAGTATTTTAATACATATAACTAAAATCAGGCTTCCCGGTGGTTCAGTGGGTAAAGAATCCACCTACAATGAGAGAGACGCAAGAGACTCAGGTTCAATCCCTGGGCCAGGAAGATCCCCTGGAGGAGGGCATGGTCATCCACTCCAGTATTCTTGCCTGGAGAATCCCCAGGGACAGAGGAGCCTGGCGGGCTACAGTCCATGGGGTCACAAGAGTCGGACACAACTGAGCTACTAAACGACCACCACAGTTGTTTTACAAAGTTGTGTTAGTTCCTGCTGTATAGTAAAGTGAAATCAGCCACACTGATCCATACTTATGTAAATATGCATCCCCTCTTCCTTGGATTTCCTTCCCATTTAGGTCAGGACAGAACATTGAGTAGAGTTCCCTGGGCTACACAATTGGTTCTCCCCCCTTTTTTTTTTGGCCACACTGCATGGCATACGGGATCTTAGTTCCCTGACCGTGTCCCTGGCATTGAAAGTGCAGAGTCTTAACCACTGAACTGCCAGGGAAGTCCCTCGGTTCTCACTAGTTATCTATTTTACACATTAATAGTGTATATATGCCAATCCCCCCAGAGAAGGGCATGGCAACCCACTCCAGTATTCTTGCCTGGAGAATCCCACGGACAGGGGAGCCTGGCGTGTCGCAGTTCATGGGGTCACAGAGAGTCGGACAGGACTTAGCGACTAAACAACAACAAATAGTATTTTAACATACATATAACTAAAATCAGGCTTCCCGGTGGTTCAGTGGGTAAAGAATCCACCTACAATGAGAGAGACGCAAGAGACTCAGGTTCAATCCCTGGGCCAGGAAGATCCCCTGGAGGAGGGCATGGTCATCCACTCCAGTATTCTTGCCTGGAGAATCCCCAGGGACAGAGGAGCCTGGCGGGCTACAGTGCATGGGGTCACAAAGAGCCAGACACGACTGGAGTGACGGTGCATACACACAAAACTTAAATCAGTAAGTCAGGGAATAAAAAAAAAAGACAAGGGAGGATCGTGTTGTCAGAAAGTCATGGTTGAGGACAGCTACTGTTTCCAAATACAAAACCGACCCCTGAGCCGGGGGACAGCCTAGCTCTTCTGGAGAACCGGGTGAGCTGCAAACCTGTTCATCAACCTTCGCTGGACGTGAGCGGCGTGGCAGTGGGCTCTGTCACCCGCTTTGATTCCCGCCTGAGCGCTGCTGTCTGGCCCCTTCGGGCTCCAGAGCCAGACTGAGCCCAGGGCCCAGGGCTCGGAAGGGACACCTGGCCCTGGGCCCCGCCCTCCCCTGAGCACCGGCCGGGCAGAGGGGTCGGTGGGGTGAGGCCCTCCTGCTCCTTCCACCTACCAGGTCCATGTGCCTTCTTCTACAACAGGTGCGGCTTCACGGCTCACATGACCTCATCTGCATTTACTCAGAGCACATATCCAGCCCTGCCTGCCCCAGCTGCTGCATGAGTCGGAGCCAGAGCAGAAGAAATAGGCTGTGCATTGAATTTCCTCCCCAGGCTGGGGCTTACAATTCTCCTCCAGGCCTGGCCCGAGCAGTGCACACACAGACCCTACATTGGTGCCCCCCAGGCAGGGTGTCAGGCTCACCCCAGCTGGCCGGTCCCGAGCGTTTAGTTCAGAGATGCCTGGGAGAAAGAAAGAATGTGAAAAAGAGAGGAACTCCTCCCCAAACGAGGGCAGGCGGGAGAGGAGCATCCAGAGACTCTGAGGACCAGCCTGGCCAGCAGCCATCCCCCGACCCCCTTATTTAAAATTAATAAAATGATAAACACAGTTACAGGTAAATGACAATTCAGTACATTTAGCTGGATAATATGAAAATTTACATGTTCACAAGCATATAGCTCCTTCATCAACATCGATCATTTTAGCCCATGTAGTCAAAGTCTTCTGGCATCCCAGAATTTTTATTGATTTTATTTTGTCCAAACCCAAATTTTCCCCAGAGACTCACCCTCATCACAGTTGCTCCCGGTAAAGCCAGGGCAGCACCTCCATTCCAGCGCCGTCACCGTGCGGTAGGACACTCTGTACGTGGGTCTGATCAGAGTCCTGTAACTAACACAAGGGCAGCATCAGGACAGTGTGAGGGCCCCCCTCCGCCCACCGCAGACCCCACTGCTGCAGAGACCACCCAGCCCAGCCAGATACAGAAACACAAATATCATATGATATCACTTTTATATGGAATCTAAAAAAAATGAACTTATTTATAAAACAGAAACAGACCCACACGCATAGAAACTAAATTTATGGTTGGCTCAGACGGTAAGGAATCTGCCTGAAATGTGGGAGACCCAGCTTCGATCCCTGGGACAGGAAGATCCCCTGGAGAAGGATCTGGCAACCCATGCCAGTATTCTTGCCTGGAGAACCCTATGGACAGAGGAACCTGGTGGGCTACAGTCCATGGGGTCACAAAGAGTTGGACATGACAAAGCAACTAACACACATACACACACGCAAAGGGGATGGAGGGATAAATTAGGAGTTTAGGATTAAAAGATACACACGACTACAAATAAAATAGATAACCAACAAGGAGCTACTGTTGTAGCTACTGTGGTTCCAACAGGGAACTACACTCAGTATTTTGTAATAACTTCTAAGGGAAAAGAATCTGGAAAAGAATACATGTACAGGCTTCCCAAGTGGCACAGCGGTAATGCAGGAGACACAGGAGACGGAGGTTCAATCCCTGGGTTGGGAAGATCCCACAGAGCAGGAAATGGGCAATCCACTCCAGTATTCCTGCCTGGGAAATCCTATGGACAAAGAAGCCTGGCGGGCTACAATGGGATCGCAGAGTCAGACACGCCTGAGCACACACACACACATATAAAACTGAATCACTTTACTATACACCTGAAACTAACATATTGTAATTTACACATTGGAAATCAACTATAGTTTAAAAAAGGAAAACATACATATGATTGATTTTCACAAGGGGCAAAAATCCAGCTTTATTATTCAATTTCCATGACTGCTTAATCAAGTCTGCACAGCTTCCTCTTGAAAGCAAAACTGCATGACTTCACAGAACTTGCATCTGCTGACACCGAGCAACTTAATCATGAATGGGAAAATTATGAATTAATTGAGAGCAGCAGGCGTGATGTTTTTAGGCGCACTGTTGACAGGAAAACACATAAGTCATGTTTTGAATTTCAGAAATAGTGTGCTAAATCTGAAAAATCCTGTTACACTAATTTTTCTTTAAAAAAAAAAAAAAAAAATCCTCTCCCTTGTGTTTCGTAAACATTCCAGCAAAGCCACTTCCCCCTGGAGCTCTAAGCTGGGGATGGGGGAGGAGGAAGGGTTGGCAGGGCGCAGCGCAGCCGGGGGCTGGAACCTTCGAAGTGAGGGGACGAGAGTCTGCAGAGAGTGGTGCCCAGGGGCAAACCCAGCCCTTGGGGACTCTCAGATCCATGGCAGGAAGATCTCAGGAAGCAGCTGGCATAGGCCACTGGGGTGGGGGGTGGGAGGGCAGAGGACCAGACATTGTCAACACTCCTCACAGCAAGGGACCTGAGGAGACACAGCGGGGTAGGTGAGCCTGGGTCCAAGGAATCCAAACAGACTGTCTGCATAAGCAACATGGCATCACCGACTCAACGGACATGAGTCTGAGCAGACTCGGGGAGTCGGTGATGGACAGGGAGGCCTAGCGTGCTGCAGTCCATGGGGTCACAAAGAGTCAGACACGACTGAGCGACTGAACTGAACTGATAAGAAACATACACCATTTCTCACCCACGCGTTCACTCACATGCTCACACACACACACACACACATGCACACTCACACGCTCACAGCTGCTTCTTGCTGCAGATCTCCCAGCCAGAAACAGGCCCAGCTAGGAAAAGGAAGATGCTTTAATTTCTATTTAAAATGTCATTTTTTAAAAATTGGAGTATATACTTGCTTTGGGGCTTCCCTCATAGCTCAGTAGGTAAAGAATCTGCCTGCAATGCAGGAGACCTGGGTTTGATTCCTGGGTCGGGAAGATCCCTTGGAGAAGGAAATGGCAACCCACTCCAGTATTCTTGCCTGGAGAATCCCACGGACAGAGGAGCCTGGCAGGCTACATTCAGTCCACGGGGTCACAAGAGTCGGACACAACTGAGCTACTAAACGACCACCACAGTTGTTTTACAAAGTTGTGTTAGTTCCTGCTGTATAGTAAAGTGAAATCAGCCACACTGATCCATACTTATGTAAATATGCATCCCCTCTTCCTTGGATTTCCTTCCCATTTAGGTCAGGACAGAACATTGAGTAGAGTTCCCTGGGCTACACAATTGGTTCTCCCCCCTTTTTTTTTTTGGCCACACTGCATGGCATACGGGATCTTAGTTCCCTGACCGTGTCCCTGGCATTGAAAGTGCAGAGTCTTAACCACTGAACTGCCAGGGAAGTCCCTCGGTTCTCACTAGTTATCTATTTTACACATTAATAGTGTATATATGCCAATCCCCCCAGAGAAGGGCATGGCAACCCACTCCAGTATTCTTGCCTGGAGAATCCCACGGACAGGGGAGCCTGGTGAGCTACAGTCCATGGGGTCTCAAAGAGTCAGAAGTGACTTGGCACACACGCCTGCATGCCAATCCCAATCTCAGTTCTAAAATTAATTCTTAAAGGCAGGTTGTTGCTCTGGCTAAGAGGGGCTGGGAAAGCGACGGAACCTCTCCCATAACCACAGCACCATGGGGTAGATGGAGCCCCGGGAGGTGGGGACACCAGCTGAGAATTCAGGGTCCTGACCCTAATTCACTCTGGGAATTGCACATGTTCCTGAACCTTCCTGAGCCTGTTTCCTGCTTTGCACGCTGAGGACCAGGATGCTGGGCGTGAGGCTCAGTGGAAGGGCACGTGTGAGAGCAGAAAGGGGTGTGTAGATGCTAGGTTTGTAAAATACAGACCTGACCTCATTCCTCCTGGCCCGCACCCTTTGGCCATCCCCCCTGTGGCCAGGAGAGAGTCTGAGCTGTTTAGCCCCGGGGGCCAGGCCTTCTCCAGCTGCCATGGCTGCCCCCAGGCCCCTTGTGCCATAGGCTGCCCCTCGGCCTCCAGCCCAGGCGCCCTCCAAGGGCTCTTCACTCTGTGCCTTGAGTGGTGATGGTGACAAAGTGATGGCAGATACAATGAGAGCTTCGAGTACTTGCCATGTGTCAGCACTGTTCTGACACATAACAACCCTAACAGGGGGGTGCTACCACCATTCCTAATTTACTGAGAGCTTCGGTAACTCTATCAGGGTCACACTGCAAGAAGATGGTGGAACTAGATTCTAAACCCAGGCAGAACTGGCAGAACCTAGAAACACTAACTTGTGTGCATGCAGTACCAGGGCACACTGTTCCTCTCTGCATCTGGCCAAGGTACTGAGACGTGGCCCCTGAACCAGAAAGCGAGCTCAGTCCCCAGAGAAGGTCTTGTTCTGCCCTTCTTTCCGAGCGAGGGCCATGGGCTGGTGTGTCCCCTGTGGGACCAGAAGCATCTGGGTGGCTGTGAAGTCCAGGAGCAGGGCCCGCCAGTAGGTGGCGCTGCTTCACCAGCCCAGCAGGCCAGGGCTCAGACCCTCCGCCCTCCCCTGAATGGCCAGGGCAGGTGCAAGTGTCCATGGGCTTACTCCCACCACTTTGCCCTCCTACATCCATGAAGAACTCCCAGGCCTTCCATTGGGGTCCAGTCCACAGATCCACTGATCTTTCTAAAATGATTCTGTTTTGTGGCTGACCTCTCTCAAAACTTTCCACGGCTCCCATAGACCAAAGACCACACTCTCCAGGTCAGTGAATAAGGCCCCACCTAGCGTCCTCCCCTCCCCTCCCTGCACAACCAGCAGCCAAGTCTCCTCCCACCACAACACAACAAGCAGCTCTTCCTGCCTCCTGGCCTTTGCACATGCAGGCTTCTCTGCCTACTGGCCCTCCTCCTGTACTCGGCAGAGAAAAGCCCCCAAGAGCCTTCAGGGGGTGATGCCAACATCCTCTGCCCTGTGAAGCACCCCCAGTCTTGGCCAGAGTGGATGGGCTCCCTTATCAGCATCCCCACACCCTGTACAGAGCTTGGCTTTTCATGCGGGGTGCCCACTGTTTACCAAGCACTGGAATTCCAAGAATAAAGGAGGCCGCAAGAGCTCTCACGGTGCTAGAGCTAGCGGCACAACTTCTGGATCATAGGTGTGAATATGTGCCTATGCACGGTGCTTCCTGGTGGCTCAGATGGTAAAGAATCTGCCTGCAATTCAGGAGACCCGGGTTCGATCCTTGGGTAGGGAAGATCCCCTGGAGAAGGAAATGGCAACTCGCTCCAGTATTCTCGCCCGGAGAATTCCACAGGCAGAAGAGCCTGGCAGGCTACAGTCCATGGGGTCGCAAAGAGTCAGACACAACTGAACCACTAACACACATGATGGTAAGTGCCAAGGAAGAAAGCACTGAGTTCACTCCTCGCATTGCAATGGATTAGTTTTCTTATTTTAAAATTAAAATTTAATTTACAGGGACTTCCCTGGTGGTCCACTGTGGCTAAGACTCCAAGCTCCCACAGAAGGAGCCCAGGTTCCATCCCTAATCAGGCAACTAGTTTCCTCATGCAGCAACAAAGATCAAAGATCCTGCATGATGCAACTAAGACCTGGTGCAGCCAAATAAACAAATGAATATTTAAAAAGGAAAGAAAGAAAAATATCTTGCCATGTGGATGGAAGACCAGGTTCAGAAGCTCATACCACTTAGCCAACTGACAATCCAGGCTAAGGCAAGACGTCTTACAATACACTAAAAAAGCATGCCCATGATCCTATAAGTAACACACATGTTTATACCAAGTCATGGCTGGTTCCAACGCTTCAAAAGGCATCATGATTTTCATAATGTGAAAGTCAGCGGTGAGGCAGCAAGTGCCAATACTGAAGGTGCCAAAGCTTTTAAAGAAGAGCTGCAGAGGATAATTGTGGATGAGAAATATTTGCCAGAACAAATATTGAATGTCGATGAAATGAGCTTGTTCTGGAAGTGTGTGCAGGAGCGAACATACATTCATCA